CTAGGCTGCTGATCAACTGAAGGCTGTCTCCGTGTCATTCCTTCTTCGCCGACTCCGTCCACACCTTTGGGGACCCCTGGACCCGCTGGGGTTGAACCCCAGCAAGGGCGCACATTAGGGACCAGGGCACACACACAGGGACCAGGGCGCACACGCGGGGACCAGGGCACACACGCGGGGACCAGGGCACACACGCGGGGACCAGGGCTCGCACACAGGGACCAGGGCCGACACACAGGGACCAGGGCGCACACACGGGGACCAAGGTGAGCAGGGACCAGGGCTCGAGAGTGCAAGGTCACGGGCAAGGTGCTGGGTGCCTCTGAGCCTGTGGGCCACTGGACTCCAGGCTTGGCCCATGGGTGGGGCAGGGGGGCGGGGCAGAGGGCTGGGAGGTACAGACCTTCTTAATCTTCTTGATGTCGCTGTCCTCGTCGCCGGGGTCACTGGTCACGGTGGTCTGGGTGGACTGGATCCGCTCGTTGTCCTTGAGCAGGGACGCGATCTGCAAAGAAACACAGGTCAGCCGCCCCGAGGGTCACGGGCCGCGTGGGAAGCTGAGGCCCCTCGCTCTGTGGGAGGTCGTTGAGCCAGACATCTGAGCGGGCCCGGAGGCGGGGGACCAGCCCACCTGGGTCCCAGGCTGCTGGGCTCCGGCTCCGAGTGACCTTGGGCAATGCCCTTTGGCTCCCTGGGCTGCAGGCAGCACCTGTCCCCTGACCCCTGTGCCCTGGGAGCCTGGCCTGAATCTGTGCCCGATGCCTCAACCGTGGCTGCCTTTACGCTTGGGTTTTTATTGGGTCAGATGTCTGCAACATAAAGTTTGCCATCTTAGCTGGTTTTTAAAAAATATGTTTTTATTGCCCTGGCCAGTTTGGCTCAGTGGATAGAGCGTCGGCCTGTGGACTCAAGGGTCCTGGGTTCAATTCAACTCAGGGCACATGCCCGGGTTGCGGGCTCAGTCCCCAGTGGAAGAAGTGCAGGAGGCAGCCGATCCATGATTCTCATCATTGATGTTTCTCTTTCTCTCCCTCTCCCTTCCTCTCTCAGAAATCAATAAATATATTTTAAAAAGATAAAATATGTTTTTATTGATTTCCGAGAGAGGAAGGGAGAGGAAGAGAGTGAGAGAAACATCCATGATGAGAGAGAATCATTGACCAGTTGCCTCCTGCACGCCCCCACTGGGGATGGAGCCCGCAACCCGGGCCTGTGCCCTGACCGGGAATCCAACCGTGACCTCCTGGTTCATAGGTCG